TGTCCTGCTCTTAATTAAATGCATACTTGAGCCAAAAATAGATTTAAGAACAGGATGTGGCTTTTAAAAGTGTGAGAAAGTATTTCGATTAGAATAATTAATTAGGATGAAGTTTTATAGCAAAGAAACTAACATAAAAAGATTAATTGAAGCTTTTTATGTTACATATATATATATAGTTCCCTCTTTTTCTCCAATAGATCTCGATAAATGATTAGTCAAAATTTGATACCACTTTTTTTATTTAAATATAAAATTACGTGTTTTAATCTCTTCGAGACGCATTTTCAGGGTAGTGACAATCACGGTGAAGAAGATAAAACTGGTAATCCAACTGTTTTTATTGCAGTTCATTTGTGGGCGGGATAATAATATTTTTCTTTATTAATATCACCAAAACTTATTTCAAATAAAAATCATATAGTTTCACTTTTAACAAACATAGATTGGATGTATTAAATTTAAAGTGAAAGCAAAAATAAGGTTGTCAAATTAGCCATGCCCAAACTTAAGCTACCGCTTTTTATTTTTTCCACCGTGTTTCTGATTCCATACGAATATATTTATGACTCGCCCGCCCCGAAAAGGTTAATGTCTGTCTTTTCGGAACTCCCTGTATATAGATTTCTAGAAAAGAGAAGTTTTATTTTACATATTTTACGTATGTATTTTTGAATGTGTAGTATAGTAAGCGAAATTTACTCAATTTATTTTCAGAAAAATGTTTACCTGACTTTTTTAAGTTGTCGATTTAGATGAGGGTGTCCTTGCTTATTGCACGACATTCTTGACCAGCAATACTCTTTCCCAAAGCACCCTATGCATTTTTAATGGGATTCAGATTTGGTGAACGTGCTGGCTATACGAGGCGTTAAATACCCTCGCACTGTACACATTCGTCGACAGTGTCTGTTCGATGACATGTTGCATTCTCATCAATGAAAACACATTTATCATCGATAGCACTGTGGAACAAGCGAACATGAGGCAGCAGAATATCATTAATGTAGTGTTGGCCAGTCATAGTCCCAGATGGAAGCATATAAAGGGATATACGGCCATTAATCATAATGCCAGCCCATACTATGACACTACATGTAGGATATCGGTCCCTTTCCTGTATGTTAAACGCTTATACGCAGTACCAATCTTACGTCAGATTCGGCGTCTACAATCACACGAGAGACTGAGTCTACTCTCATTTGAGAATAGTACTAAAGCCTCTTCGCTCCAAATGTGATGCTGTAGACACCATTGCAAACGGGCGCTACGGTTACGTTTAGACAATGGCATGTACGCAACGGCATGAAACTGATTTGCTTCCAAACTAGCTGTACAGGAGCGGCTCCTTTTTGTCGGTAGAAGTATGTAAAGTGAGCAAAATAAAAAGGATATCACCCTGATTAACTTTTGTTCTAATGATCCGATTTTCTATGGGTCAATCTTAATGGTTCAAGGGGATGGTCTTAAATATGCTAAATAATTAGTACTAACTATTAATTAAGTTACGAAATCAGACACAAACACGTACTTTATCTGAAGAAATATATATATATTTTTTTACATATTTGGATTCTTAAACATCAAAATATAGGGGTTAGCCGCAATCTGGGAAATATGGCCCCCGTAGTTTAATCAGGAGAGCTATCCAAAGTTCGGACTCCGTAATGTTAATTTCACTTTTGCGTTTTTAGTCATATTTCTTAAAACTAATTGAGCAATTCAAAAAAACATTTTTCTCACATATGAAACCCAATTACCCAAAGATAATTTCATGCAAAAAATAATTTTTAATAATTATTTATTATTTTTTATTATTTAATTTATTTGTGGATGAAAACATTTTGTATAAATTTTTTTATACCATATTAATCTACGTACTTTTCTATTGCAAAATCTAAAGTTTCAACTGTTTTTATTTGGTAGAAGCCGAGAAAAATTAAAATTTGTTATTTTAAAAAAAAAATAATTTGGCGACAATGAAGAAATATTTAAGTGGGGCGATTAATATTTAAATGTGGTAAACTTAGGAGAAATTTGACTTACGCGCGAGTGGAGTAAAATTTCATTTTCATATTTGGATTTCTGACCCTCAAAATATAGAGGATAGACAAAATTGGGCCATAAATTTGGGTGCTAGGAAGCTATACATGTTTGGCGTAGTCGCCCCAAAATAGCCAAATAATATCGCTTCAAGGAGGAGAAATTTAAGTTAATCTTTGTCGTCGACAGGAGAGAAATACCTAGCGTTTCACCGTTACTGAGCAACCAAGTTGGCGCAATAAAAATTAATGAAATAAAAATTAGATTCATCATTTCATCTTTTTCAATCATCATTTTCAGTTAGGTCA